GGCGTCTCATGTCTCTACCGGGCGACGTCTCATGTCTCTATAGAGCGACGTCTCATGTCTCTACCAGGCGACGTCTTATGTCTCTAGCAGGCGACGTCTCATGTCTCTACCGGGCGACATCTCATGTCTCTATCAGGCGACGTCTCATGTCTCTACCAGGCGACGTCTCATGTCTCTATCCGGCGGTGTCTCACGTCTCTACCGGGCGACGTCTCATGTCTCTACCGGGCGACGTCTCATGTCTCTACCAGGCGACGTCTCATGTCTCTATCAGGCGACGTCTCACGTCTCTACCAGGTGACGTCTCATGTCTCTATCAGGTGACGTCTCATGTCTCTACCAGGCGACGTCTCACGTCTCTACCAGGCGACGTCTCATGTCTCTATCAGGCGACGTCTCATGTCTCTACCGGGCGACGTCTCATGTCTCTACCAGGCGACGTCTCATGTCTCTATCAGGCGACGTCTCACGTCTCTACCGGGCGACGTCTCACGTCTCTACCAGGTGACGTCTCACGTCTCTACCGGGCGACGTCTAACGTCTCTACCGAGCGACGTCTCACGTCTCTACCAGGTGACGTCACATGTCTCTCCCAGGCGACGTCTCACGTCTCTACCAGGCGACGTCTCACGTCTCTATCAGGCGACGTCTCACGTCTCTACCAGGCGACGTGTCACGTTCCTACGACACGATTGTCCGTTCTCAACTGCATCCCCTCCGTCCGCAAAGCAACAAGGTCATATGCCTGGCTAGCAAAGATCGAAGCAAGTTCGCAAGTTAACAAGAACACACAGTCAGATTATGCTAGCAGGTATTTTCGAATAATAACCGAATATACTGTTACTGTTACTTGAGTTACTTGTTACTTGAGTTACTTGTTTATTGTTAATTGAGCCAAATACCTAGTATCAAGATTATTTATTACACAACGAACGTTCTTTTACAACGGTAAGGATATGGATCAATGGTGCACGATAACGGCTTTAGCGATGTATGTGACGACAATTTTCGTCGAGTTTTGACGTCTTTTGTTAAAAACGTTAACGCATTTTTCAGTATTTACAATAAAACATGAAAAACGAACATAATGACATATAAACATGCAACGAATAATAATAGTGCTGTTTAATTTGAGCCATGTAATGTTATTATAACTGAGATTAATAAACATCTGTGTAT